CGGGACGGCGGGTTCGCGGCGGGCTGGGGCGCCCACGCCAGGCCCGGCCCGGCTGCCCAGGTCCGTCGTCCTCTCTGCGGCCCTGGGTACCGATTTTCCCCGTTACAGGGGTATTTAACACACACCGGGTCACGCCCCGAAACTGAGGGGCACGCAGGTGGACTGCATCGTCTCCACCGCTCGGACAGAGAGCTGGGCTCCGAGCTTCTCGTGGCTCTTTGTGGGGACGCTGGGGGCGCCGGGCCCACCCGGAGGGCGCCGGAGACGCTCCGAGCGCTGCACGCTCCCCGCCAGGCCCCACGGCTGCCCAGCCGAGCCGCGGCCGGGTTCGGGGCCATTCTGGGGGGAGGGGGCCGGGTCTGGGGTGTGGAGGGACCCTAAACCTATCCCTGACCCTAACGATGACCCTAAACCTAACCCTGGCCCGTCGGCCGCGGTCTGAGGTGCGGTCTGAGGTAGACGCTGGGGGGAGGGGGGCTGAGTTGTGGGATGGGGCCTGGCGGGAAGTGGCCGGGGTCTGGGGTGGGCTCTGGAGGAAGTGGGCCGGAGTCTGGGGTCTGTGCGGACGCGCCCCCAGCCCCCGGTATCTCCCCCGACCCCCGGCCCGCTCCTACCGTGCCTCCGGCGCGCCGCCATGCCGCGTGCCCCGCCCGCGGACCAGCCTGCCCGCGCGCGCCGGACCTGCGCGCCTTGCGCTTCCGGATTCCGCCCGCCTAGGCCCGCCCACGGGGCAGGACCGCCCAATCCGGATCCGGAGCTCCTGTCGGTGGCTGTCAGTCAGCCGTGACGCAGCCTTGGATGGGTTGGTACCGAGGGTGTGGGCGTGCCCCGCGGCCCTCAAACTCCGCCTCTGGGAGCCGCGCTGCGGAGCATGCGCGCAGGGAAGCGGCCGGGGTGGCGCGGGTCCAGGCCCAGCAGACCGAGTCCGGAGCGCTGGGCCGGGACGCCAGCGCCGCCTGTTCTGGGCGCGAGCAGGACTCAGGCTGCGAGCGCCGGAAAGGACGCTGTGGCGAAGACAAGGCCCAGGAGGCTGGAGGGAGGACGGCCCCACCTGGCCGCCCCTGCGCCCACGCGCCTGTTGCCCCTGCTCTCCAGGGCGTCCTCCTCCCTCCTCTCCAGTCCGTTCTCCTCCCCGGGTCCCCCTCCTCCCCGGGTCCTCCTCCTCCCCAGGTCCCCCTCTTCCCCGGTCCCCC